TGAAAATAAATAGATTTTATCATCATCAACAAAACCATATGTAAATGTATGCGGACCAAATACCTTCGCAAATGATTTGGTTAATTCTTGTTGTTTGAGTTCAGAAATTTTTTCATCAATTACATATATCATTGTTTTACCTGGATCAATCGCTAATGCTTTTATCCAATCAAACACATTAAAACCATAATGTTTTTCCTGAATTTTTAACATATTTATACGATATGATTGTTTATTATAAAATGATGATATCAGTCCTTCATTTTCATAAGAAATTGTTAACATTATTAATTCATTTTCATGTACAATGAAAAATGGTTTCACTGCATCCATATGAATTTCCTGATTATATTCAGCAATATAATATTTATATTGATCAAATGTTTTCAGACAATAAATATGTATTTTTCCATATTGATTGATTGACATTGACATACTTATTATTGGTTGTTTTTTATCATCTGAATGTTGCTGATTATTTGTAGTTTTATTATTATCATTTGATTCATCACTACCTTTCCATCGAATTATTCTCAACAATTCCTTCACTACATCCAATGATATTAAATCCTGTAATCCATTAGTCAACATTTGACCATCGATCAGATTCAATTTATAATCATTTTTGTCATTATTTATAATTAATTTTCGATAATCATAACCAATTATTTGAATCGTATCATTTATAAATAAAAATTGATATAAATGATTATTGGTTAATGATAGACCAATTGTTTCTTTTAAATATTTTGTACCACATGGAATCGTCGTTTGTAATTGTAATGTTGTTGTAATTTGATGAATGATTATTACAAACATCATTATAATAATGAAAATTTTATTGTACATGGTCAAACAACACAACACAAAAAAAAACAGAAAATAAGAAATTCGAAAGAATTATTAAAAAAAAATTTACAAATTCTACTTGAATTTACAACTTATTTAAATGAAAAATTTACAACAAAAAAAAATTAATCAAATTAAGTTAAAAATTTTATTTTATTGTATTGTATCTAATAATGTATTGATTTTTCAATCATTTTTGTTGTTGTTGTTGTTGTCGAAGATGTGGGTGATATTGATAAATCTGGTAATAATTTTTTATTCAAATAAATCTGTTTACTTGTTCTAGATTTTTTCAATGAATTTAATGAAAATTCATGTTTTGGCCATGATAATGATTCAATTTTTCTTAATGGTTTTTTTGTTGGTTGTTGACAACAAACAATCAAACCAGCTAATAATAAAAGTATTAATATTAATATTAATATTGATACTATTAACATTAATGGAAATGTTGTTTGTTGATCAATCAATTGTTGTTGTTCAGTATTTATTGATTTTTCATCAATAGAATTTTGTGATTCGGTGGTTTTCATTGTAAATGCATTAATGTTATTCGGATCTAATGGGTGATTACAATAGAAAAAATCATTAAATGATTGTAATTTGAATGGATATTTTTGTTCATTATCCATTGAAAATGTTATTAATTTATCATTTTGATTTGAAAATAAATAAATTTGACCTTTATCAACAAAACCATATGTAAATGTATACGGACTAAATATCTGACCAAATAATTCGGTTAATGTTTGTTGTTGTTGTTCAGTTGGTTTTTCATTAATTTCATTAAAAAATTTTAAACTTGAATCCATCACTAATGATTGTATCCATTCAAAATTCTTATCACCATATTCTTTTGCCTTTAATTTTCCTATTTTCAAAAGAAATGATAATTTTCCATAAAATATTGATATTATTCCATTATTTTCATAGGAAATTGTACTCATTATATGTTTTCCTTTATGTAAACCATAAAAAATTTTTATTTTATTCTCGTTAATTTCCTGATTATAATCACCAATACAATATTTTGTTTGATTCAATGATTTTAAACAATAAATATGTATTTTTCCATTGTTATTGATTGAAATTGACATACTTAAAATTGGTGGTTCATTATTATTTTTTGATTCTTTACCACCATTCCAATGTATTACTGACATTATTTCTTTCACTACCTTTGATGGTATTAAATCCTGTAATCCATTTGCCAACATTTGACCATCGATCAGATTCAATTTATAATCATTTTTATCATTATATTTCGTTAATTTTTTATAATCATATCTGATAATTTGTATCGTATCATTTATAAATAAAAATTGATATAAATGATTATTGGTTAGTGATAGGCCAATTGTTTCTTTTAAATATTTTGTACCACATGGAATCGTCGTTTGTAATTGTAATGTCGTTGTAAATTGATGAATAATTATTAGGAATAACATCCATTTGATATTAACGAAATTATTATACATGGTCAAACAAAACAAACAAATAAAAAAAAACTTTAAAATACGAATTTTAACTTCAAATTTTCATCCATATTTAAATCAAATTCAACAAATTAGTAAAAAAAATTAATTAATTTGAGTTTTTCTAATTTTTATTTTTATTTTTTAAACTAAAAATCATTTAATTAAATTATATTTCAGACTTTGAACATTTTCATAATTGTTGTTACATTTATGATCTTAGCCAAGGCTTAGAATCGTTCGTAGTTGTTGTTTTCGATATTTTTGATCGTGGTGATAATTTTCCGGACACTTTACTCGTTGTTGCTGCTGGTGTTTTTGATATCTTTGATGGCGGTGATGATTTTCCTGACACTTTACTCGTTGATGTTGATGTTTTTGATATCGATGATCGTGGTGTTGATTTTCCGGACACTTTACTCGTTGTTGTTGATGTTTTTGATATCGATGAAAGTGGTAATAATTTTTCGGACATTTTACTCGTTGTTGTTGTTGATGTTTTTGATAACATTGATGAAGATGATACTGATTTTTTGGTCATTGTTGTTGTTGTTGTTGCTGGTGATAATATTGATGAATCGGATTTTCCATCTAAATTAATTTTTTGTTTCGGTGGTGATGATGTTAATGGTAATTTTTTTACTGGATTTTTTTTACCAGATTTTTTCCGTAAACAACAAACAAACAATACAATCAATAATATAAATACTATTATTGATGCTGCTATAATTCCCATAATAGTAGTAGAAATATTAAATCCATTATCAACAAATGTTTTATCACAATAGAAAAAATCCTGATATGATTGTATATTGAATGGATATTTTTCATCTGAATAATTTTTATTTGTGTTTTGTATGAAATCGGATGCGAATGAAATTATTCTTTCATCTTGATTTGAGAATAAATAGATTCGATTATCATCAACAAAACCAAAGGTAAATGTATGCGGACCAAATATTTTCGAAAATGATTTTGTTAATATTTGTTGTTGTTCATGTTCAGTAATATTTTCATAAATTTCATATAAAAAATTTAAACTTGAATCAACTACAAATGTTTTTGTCCATTCTAATCTAGAATTTGCATAATAATTTTTCTTTAATTTCAACATAACTAAACTATATGATAATTTATCATATAATAATAATAATAATCCATCATTTTCATTGGAAATTGTACCCATTATTTTTTGTTCATCATGTTTACCAAGAAATGCTTCAATTGTTTCATTATCAATTATTTGATTATATTCACCAATATTATATGTTATTTGATCAAATGATTTTATACAATAAATATGTATTTTTTCATGTTTATACATTGACATTGTTATACTTAATATTGGTGGTTCATTATTATTATCATTATCAGCTGAATGTTGATTATTATCACCATCAGTCCATTGTATTATTGTAATTAATCGTTTTACTATATCCAATGGTATCAGATCTTCTAATCCATTTACCAACATATGACCATCAATCAGATTCAATTTATAATTATTTTTCGATAATTTTCGATTATCATATCGGATAATTTCAATCGTATCATTTATCAATAAAAATTGATATAAATGATTATTGGTTATCGATAAGCCAATTGTTTCGTTTAAATATTCAATACCACATGGAATTGGTTTTGGTTTTGGTTTTGGTTGATGATGTTGTTGTTCGGTTACATTTTGAGGCTCTAATGTTGTAATGTTGTGTTCGTCGTTGGTTGTACATTGATGAAAATTTTGATAAACAATAATTATACCGATTAATTTGATAATAAAGATATTTTTATACATTTTCAAACCAATGAAAAAATTAGGGGAAAAACAAAAAAAAAAATACGAAAAATAAATTTTACAAAAATACAAAATTAACTTTGGATTTCCATCCATATTTAAATCAAATTAATCGAACAAATCATGAATTTAAAAAAAATAACTCAATTTTATTCATTGTTTTAAACTAAAATTTATTCAATTAAATAATATTTTCAATTTTTGAACATTTTCATAGTTGTTGTTGTTGGTGGTGGTGTTTTTGATATACGTTCGACAATGAAAGGTGCCAAATCAAATACAGTTGTTATAATTGGTTGGAATTATTATGATAGATTAGTTGATTTGAAACATATTCTGAGAAGAAAAAAATTGATTTCAAATTTTAAACAAACAAGAAAAAAAATGATAATTTGTTTTTCCTATTTCATTCCATAAATTACCTTAATCAATTATCAATTAACGCGTTCGCTACCGGAGATTTCGAAAAACACATAGAACTACAGCAAATAAACGACGCATATATGCGTCGCTGGTAGCGAACGCGTTAACAAATACTGATTAGCAGTGTACTTTTAAACAAAAAACAAAAAATTAAAACATCGTTTTTTTTGTGAACAAAAAATTAAAATTGGAATTAAATTTCAAGCATGCGCATTGAAATGTAGCTCGTCTTAGCAAGCCAGTGTTTTACTTTTTTATGTTATTGTGAATTGTGTATGGATGGATGGATGGATGGATGATGTGGTGACGTATGCGAATATGCATCTCTTTATTATTTGGTATTGCAGAGAGTTGAGTCGATTGGCGTCCTTTGTGGTGAGATGTGGGTACCAGTATGTATATATTGCATTTTTTAGTCCATTTCCTTTGGCGATGATGTAGTTGACGTGACCTTTGAAGTCTAGTTTATTGCGGTGTCGATGATTTCTTATGATGACTCCAAGTATTTTTATCTCTGATGAAGGTTGAATTATGGTGTTGTTAAAATGAATTGATTGTTTTTCGTTGTTGCGAAGATATAAGATGTTGTTTTTTTGGCAGACTGATTTGTAGCTTAACTTTACTAGATGTTATTAGATTAGTCAAGCTATATAAGTATATAAAATTTTCAGTGTTGTCCATGAATTAAATATATCATAAAGTGAAAATGATGTTTCTTTTGTTCCTCTAGATTTTATCGATAAATTAATAGGATATTGAATGATATGAAAAGTTTTCTTAAAATTTTCTATTTTTATCCAATTATACAATATTTCGATATTAATATATGTTTCATTTGGGGTTATAATTGGTTTTATCAAAATAGATTTGGAAACATTTATTAATAATTGCATTAAAGGCACCAAAATTACTGGTAAAATATATTGGTATAAATGCTGATAGAGGTGTGATATAATATTAAATTTTTTTATTATTAGGATCGTACCGATAATAGCCAAAGTTATTAAGACTACTTTTAAAATCCATTTCCAAGTATTTATTTCATGCATTTTATCTATTTTATTTATTTTATCTATTTTATTCATTCTTTTTCTTTTATTTATTCTTTTTCTTTTATTTATTCTTTTTCTTTTATTCATTCTTTTTGTGTTGTTTCTATGTGGAAAAATACTCAGAATTATTCTTTTTTATTATAAACGTTTCTTAACACCTAGTTCCCTATTTAGAAAATATTATCTAAAAATCGTTTTTTTTACAAAATCTTTCAATTAGTAGGGGATAGTATCACATTGTATTTCACTATCTAAATCAAATATTTTATCAAAGTAATTGGATAAATGATTAAAATTTTATCACCATATTGCTATCGTTACATTTGTTTAAAATAATTTTATAACCGCGACCAAGTGGGCTCGATCCACTAACCTCTCAGTTAAAATGCTCTAATCGATTAGTTAAGCACAAAATAACCCTTACTAAATGAATATATAAAGGTAAATTGCTCTAGCCGATTGCTCCACGGTCATGCGGTATGTTATAATGTATTTTGATTATTGTTTTTTATGTTGTTGTTGTTGTCAAACTTGAGGCACAATCAATATTTTCGTTGCTATTCGATTTCCATAGTCGAAGATTATCTTCAAAATTTTGGTTTAATATCTAAATTCAAAACTTAAAATCAAAATAAATGTTTCATAAATTTTGATTAATAATAATAATTATAACCCCATCTATTTGATAATAAAGATATTTTTATAATACATTTTCATTGTTTTAAAATTAAAATTTATTCAATTAAATAATATTTCAATTTTTGAACTTTTTCATAGTTGTTGACATTGTTGAAAGTGGTAATAATTTTCCGGACACTTTACTGGTTGTTGTTGTTGGTGTTTTTGACATCGATGAAAGTGGTACTAATTTTTCACCCACTTTACTTGTTGCTGTTGGTGTTTTTGACATCGATGAAAGTGGTACCAATTTTCCGGACACTTTACTTGTTGTTGTTGCTGGTGTTTTCGATATTGATGAATGCAGTGAAGATGACATTCCAGAAACCTCAGCCATTGTTGGTATTGATGAATGTAGTGTAGATTTTCCGGCCATTTGAGTCGATATTGGTGTTTCCGAAATCGATGAAATTGGTAATGATGTTTCCATCACTTTGCTTGTTGTTGCTGGTGTTTTTGATATCATTGATGAAGCTGTTACTGATTGTTCTGTCATTGTTACTTTCATTGTAGGTGATATCGATGAATCGGTTGAAAATTTTCCAACTTGTTGCTTTGGTGATGTTGTTAATGGTAATTTTTTTACTGGATTTTTTTTACCAGATTTTTTTCGTAAACAATAAATAAACAATCCAATCAATATTGAAAATATTACTATTGATGCTACTATAATTCCCGATATATTAATAGAAATATTAATCTTTTTATTAATAATATCATCAAGATCGAATGGTAACCATGGCTTTTTTATTGTAGTATTATCAGGTTTATTATTATCATGATCATCAATGTTAATCGGTTCCACTTGTTTACTACAATGAAAAAAATCTTTATAGTGTTGTAATTTAAATGGATATTTTTGATTTGAATCAATTTCGTCGTCTCCAGTTGAATTGAATGAAAATGTTAATAATTTTTCATTTTGATTTGAAAATATAAATATTTGATTATTATCATTAATAAAACCATATGTAAATATATGCTGATCAAATATTTGTGCAAATAATTTTGTTAATTTTTGTCGATATCGTTCATTTGGTTTTCCATCAAATTCATAAAAAAAATTTAAATCCTCATCAACAACCAATGATTTTTTCCATTCATAATCATCTTGAAGAAATAATTTTTTCGTCATTTTAATTATAGTTATATTGTAGTGATTTTTACTATAAGTTATTGCAAACATTCCATCACTTTGATTGGATAATAAAGACATTATATATTTTTCATCAGTTTCTCGTTTTTCTCTCATATCAAATCCTCGCATATTAAGTTCTTCATTATGATTAGCAAGATAATAAGTAATTTTATCAAATGTTTTATAATAAACAATACGATTTTGTTTTTGTTTATTCATTGTATATGCTATTGAAATAATTGGTTGTTCATCATACACTATTTTTAAATGAGTTCTTCTTGAATCTTTTTCTCCGTTCCATCGAAATACGACCGTTAAATATTCTGTTGCTCTTTCGTTTATTAAATCCTCCAATTTATTTGCCATCATTTGACCATCAATCAAATTCAATTTATATTCATTTTGATCATTATTATTTTTTGATAATCTTTGAT